CTAACAAAGTTACAAATACCCCCCCCTGCACCAACAGCCCCACCTGTGGGTGTGGCCCCCCCCCTTTTCCCTCCCCCCCCACCCCATAATCTCGCACCCCCCCCCCCCTCCCCTTCCCTCCCCCATAAGTACAAATCAAATTGGCGCAGTCACTAAATTAGGTGATTCCATGAAATACCCTCAACCATACTATGGTCGGCTTCCACATTTTAGCCCTCGTTGCCTTCAGAATTTCCAAAATGTGTTTTTCTGCCTGTGCCCTTGGAATGCTATAATCATTAACACCACGTGCAGATTTTTCATTCTTTTCTTTACATCCTTGGAAATACAGGCAGGTTTTGCAAATATGAGGGTGTCAATGGGGTATAGCTGTAGTCAGTAAACAGCTAAAAATGTGCTACTTAGTCAGTAAACAGCCAAAAAACACTAGATGGTCAGTATAAGCAGCCAAAAAAACATTTAGTCAGTTAAGTGGCATCGTTGTGAGTCTTGCAGCTATTAATTTTCAAAAATCGTTTATAGGGTGGGATTTCCAAATCAATCACTCCTCTACTAAGACTCCCAAGTTCTCTTCCACTTTTTCAGTATGCAATGCACTGGTTTGCAATATTTTTTAATACTTCATCAAATCACTTTGAAGTCTGAACAGAATTATTTCTTACACATCCAGCCTAACCAATGCCCTGAATTGTCTTCCTAGGTTGAGCCTGGAAGGCAGCACCACTCTCCTCTTCATCCTCTTTCTGTGCATAAATTCTTGACCAAATGCGCTCAATGACATCTGAATTTCTGTACAGTCATTGTCCCACTTGAAACATAACTAAAACAAAATTTTCTAATCTAATTGGCTGTCGGCAGCCCTGATTTCAGCATTAACAGGGTGATGTAATAGGAAAGTACGTGCCATGTGAAAGTATATTAGATAGAGAAATGCAGTATGCGGCATTGTGCGCACACTCTTGAATGGGTTCAAGGAAAGGCAAGGGAATTGGTAATAGAACGTCTTGTCCAATTAGCAATCTGTAATTATACTTGTCAGGGGATTCAGGGGCGTAGCGTGGCCATTTTGGCAAGTACGCACACGGATTCATATTCGTAACAAAATAACGTTTTTGCTATTCTTCAATAGTTACATCTTTTAGCAGATTACAGTCTTGTTTACGATAGAACGTGATATTAAAAAAGCTTTTAAAACGTTTTTCTTTGAGCTGGTACTGGAATCAGAAAGTTTGCAAGCACAAGGCGCCTACCCTAAATAAACTTCCAAAGCGCTGAATATCCTTCACAAGAAATTCAAATAAGATGTTTCGTTCAATCGCTAAATGTTTGGAATGAAAGATAAGCTCTACTGTAGCTCAAGAAAAATGACCCCTTAAAGTGCAGAAATTTGGAGTTTAAAAGCATCGGTTGGAAGAATTTCGGCGTGTACGTGATTGTGTAAATTTTCCGCAAGCTTATTCCTTTGCTGACTTTTGTGTTTTTCCTTTATTTCGATCATGAAATCGATCATGGAACAGACAATTATAGTAAGGGTTTTAGCATCTATTTATTTATTTATTTTCAGTTGTTCTGAATATCTCTAATGTTTTTCATTGAAAACGATTCTACTGATCTGTTGAGTGCAAAATTTTTGTTGATGCCGCGCCATACGTACACCTAATGGTTTGCTTCAGCTTTGTACCTCGATTATGGTCGGCATGGTCTATTCCATGATTTCCCACTTGAGCGACATTTATATAGAGGGAAAAAACTAAAAATGAATAGCTTTAATTTGAATGGAAAAACTTTCCCGATAAATCTTTTAAAAAAATGATAGTCAGGATCGATTCTTTGTGGCGACAAATGCGTTTCCATGAATTTCCCCAATCCTTCTTCCTTTTTGTTTTATTCAAAGCAATGTATTGGGAGATCCACAGGAAATCTTTATAAAAAAAAATCCTTCCAATTTCTCAAGTACGGACGTGCGTATTTGCGTAAAGGACGCTACGCTCTTGGGATTGAACAAATCAGATTCTTGCTTAATGCGGTCGCCAAAAAACAAGGGATTTTAAGTTCATAGTAAGCAAGTGTGTTCTTGTTGATGTTGTGGGTTGTTCATTTGTGTAATATATACATTTTGCAGTTGAAACAATTTATGATTTAGGATATACAAAATAAGCGGCACTCTTCTTTGCAATTTAGGGAAGGTGGATGTAAAGTAAAGGTCACATTTCATAGGTTAGAGTATAAGAACAGGGCTGCTGGACACTTAGGCTACTTTTGATCTAGTTTGATGTTCTGATGACATCTGGAATGTGCATATGCGCTAGCCTAGCATCTTAAACTGAAAAGCACATCTTCATTTAAGAAAAGCAAGGTAAAACCTGTTGTTGAAAGATGGCCCGTGTGGTTTAAAATATAGATTTGCCGGTATTATTAAAAATAGCAACAGGCTATCTTAAAGGGGATGATGATCAAGTTGGGATCAATAGAAAAATTGTCAGATAGGGAATTTACAGTGACCTGAAAATGTAAAACAATTTTTTTGAATATATATTCTTTAGGAGATGCCATGAATATATCAGAAGATCAGAAACGATGGTTAGTTATTGGGATTGCTTTCAACAAGCTGGTGCCTCATATTCGACCATTTGTAGAACAGTCTTTACAGGCAGAGTACCAGAGCTTGAAGTCCAGCCATAACATTCACATCCAAACTCCACCTGGAATTCTCAAGAATCATCCCAAACATCTGAAATATGAAAACATCAATAGTAACAGCAGTCACAAACTCTCTCCTTTCAAGTTTGACTTTTCGAAATTTGACTATAAGGTATCAAGTCATGTTGACTTTGCCAAGCTCTACCTTCAGCCATTCATGGCCAAGTTCAGTGCATTTGATGGAAAGTGTGATGGGTCCGCTGTTCTTTCATTACTTGTTGAAGTGCCTGTTTTTTCGAATGCAACACAGTTCTCAGCTAAGGCAGTAAGAGAGGATGTCAGAAATGAGTGGGCTCACTGTAACTTCACAGACTGGGATGCAGTTAAGTTCCAAGGTTGTTTCCACGAAATGCGAAAGCTTGTCCATTCCTTCGCACTTCCTACAGCAGATGAAACCACACTATTATCCGAACTAAATGACTGGGAAACCAAAGGTATGTTTCTAAATTATGTTACCTTAAATGTTTATTATAGTATTAGAGAGCGTACCGGTAAGCCCTTGTTATTTGGGCGTCGCCCAAATAGAGGAATCGAGATCTCTTGTTTTGATCCAAAGTTGCAATAGGCACGCAATACGTGCGAACGTAATTAAGCTAAGTAAACAAGTCAAGCGACGCGAAAGTCTGCCGCGTGATATGTCACGACACAGCATTTATCCTCGTTACGCACGTCCCACAGATAACGCACGGCAAACAAAATGGCAATAGAGAAAAAAGGTACACCATTGAGTGAAATAAACTTAAATCATTTAAGTTTTCCCTTTGGAAAATAATTGTCCTCGCAGAACACGGCGTGAATATTTTTCCTCTGGACCACAGGTACCGATCATTGCCCTTTTTCACTGTACAAACTATTCATTACCAGTATTAAAGGACATGTCCTCTCAGAGGACAATTTTTTGCTGGGAAAAGATGAACTTTTAAATCTTAAGCTTACGGTAGTTTTTATCGTACCTAGAAGCCGGGTGATTTTTGAGAAATTTGAAGGTAAATCTGTCGAAAATAATTGGAATTGACGCGTTTGTCTCGTTGCCAAGGGTTTGACAACATTTTTGCACTCGCATGACATAAAAAAGTGTGACAGTGAATGATGCATAATTTCATTACAGATTTTCGGAAAGGAGGTGTTTCTTTCAACCTTATTCAGCAAAATGATTTCGTAAATAAGTTGCATTCAGCCTGTGCATTCTTTCACGTTCGAACCGTAAAATGGACAGAGTCCAACATCTTCATGTGCAAACAGGGGTTAATTAGATTAAGTCGTATTCTCTCACAAAAGCGGCAAATTTCAAAGCGTTCACGTGCAAACTGCGTGACAATACAACTCACAGTAAGGGTCTGATCATTTGAGCCGGGCTGACTAGTGACTAGGTGACTTTTATCCTGGTGTTAGATGAAAAGGGCCAGCCCGGAGCCGCCGTTTTTATATAAAGATTAGAAGCAATGCGCCTGAGCAGTGTGTTACCCGCTGTCTTGATTCTCGCTTTGTTCATTCGCCGGGCCGCTCGGCGAGCGTGATTACTTGGAAAATTTCTACCTGCGATCCAGGCATCACAATACTGGGATCCCAGCTAACCGGGCTGGCAAGGAGCTCATGTAATCCGACTGTTAGTTCTATAGCCAGATTTTACGCCCTTCCCCCTTGATCTCACCAATTTTTTAAAGCCCCCCTGACATACACACAACATTTCATCCCCCAACATCTTCATACCTACTTCTCTACGTGAAATAAACTTTCCCTTATCTACGTTCTCTCCAGACAAATATTATCAAAAATAATTGAAAAACAATCTTAAACAGAAAGCCTAACAGCTGGTTAAATAAGTTCAGGTTTTCAGCTATTGATAAGATCTTCCACAACCACTACTTCTTTTCAACAGACTGTGACTACACTATCCCTTCATAACCAAATTGTCACTTCTACTACTACCTTACTGCAATACCTAAAATGACTTTTACCTTCTAAAAAAAATTGTTACTACAATTAAATTCTACGAGAAACCAGTTTCAATGATTAACGAACTACCACCATTATCTTACCAATCCACGTCTAACATAACTCCACACTTTCTACTTCATACATCTCAAGCAACCCCTAAAATATATAACCCTAGTGCACTAGTCGCACATCCCTAATAGACAATAAACTTCACACACCCCTAGTACATCGACACCCAAATAAACGCTCCCGCAGCGTCTTGTTTTGAGGAGGAATCGTATTAATTTGAGGGGGGAGGACATTAGTGCTGATCATATCATAGCGTTGTGTCTATCTCATGAATTAAATTGGGGTAATCTCATTAAGATAAGGTCATGCGTAATTAACTTGTTGATTACGCGTAGCTTAAGAAACGAGTTATTGTGGGCACTGCGATATGCAAATATCTCACTCAGGTGTGGACAAATTCGTAATTAGTCAGCTCCGCGCGAAAGCGCCCGATATCAAAACAACAACTGTCTTAGATCGATTGTTCCCGTTCTGCGATCAAGAAGTGCTGAGCGTGCATTGTGCCCAAAGCTTTAGATGTTCTGATTTTGTATCTTTCACAGGACGATAAGTTGTCTTCATGTGGACTTTAAATGTTTCAAATTAGCACTATGGCCGACTTTGAGACAGAAGTTTATGAATTTCTGAAGCTTTTTGACTCGTTCAGTTGATAAACATGACGAAACGATCAGCAATTGCCCTTCGACCCCCAAGCTGGTCCAAGCTCACGAATCTCCCGTGAGTCTCACGATTCTTTGACTTTTCTTGCGACAAGACTCCCAATCTCATGGTTTTTAGTGAAATGTCATTCTGAAATGAAATGTTTCTTTGTTCAATAAAAACGGAAATGTTTACTGTTGTGAATCCATAGATAATAGATTATCCATGCTGAATCGTAACTGATTCTCCTCATGTAAAAGGCTGAGAATTACGCAGCAGCTGCTCGGAAGAGAAGTCACGAATGGTGCCTAACCCTGACCCCAAACAATACTAAAACATTGAAGGAATGGCATGTCATTGTTTCTTCCAATTTGGAGAGACCTTCCGAGCAGCTTCTACACCACCCACCCATTGCGAACTGTACAACGCTGTCAGCAAGAGACTTTGCGACGGATTTCCGAGACACTTGTCGGCCATATGTTCTTCAAATGCGACGAAATGAGTTAAAGTACGGCTTTTACCGTCAAAACCCGGCTTGTTTTCCTCGCATATATCTTTCAATTCTTCATTTATAAAGCTCTACCAGCTTCAAATAGCGTCCACCGGCAGAATTTCATGGGCAAAAATGTTAAACATAACTAATTTAAAACTTTTGCTTCACGTTAGTTGTCGTGGCGCAATAGATAACTCGTTGCCCTTACACGTCAAGGGTCTTGGGTTCAACTCCCGCCGGTGGAAACTTTTTCTTCCTTTTCTTGGTCGTTTGGTTTTGTTTTTTTTTTTAAAACATAATTGCCTTTTTTGACAGACTTAAACTATACCGGTAGACTAATTGCAAGTTCATTGCAAGTTCAGGAGGCAGCGTGGCCGAGTGGTCAGCGCGTCGGACTCGCAATCCGGCGGTCCCGGGTTCGAGTCCCGCTCTGGCCACTTGCTGGATTTGTGCTCGGTCGTCCCGAGTTCAAATTCTCGGCCACGCTTGTAAATAGCCAACTGGTTGCCTTCTGCCAGTTGGGGTTTTTAATCCTGTTATGTTGTATTTGAATTATTTGTTTCTAAATATTTGAGTGGAGTGCCTGTAAATTAGCTGACTAGCTAAGTGCACCTTCCACTATAAACATGCCTTTAACCTTTTTAACCTTTTAACCTTTCAGCTTTCATTTCCAAGAAAATTAACCGATCCACAAGTTAGCCATAGGCACCCTTTGATTTTTAGGTGGTTTTAGCGGTTTAACAGGTGTTAGTTAGTTGTGTGCGTCATGTCATTATTTAAGGTGTAGGGATCATATCCTTATTGTTTCAGATGTCTTTTCGTTAATGGACTTAAACGCATTTGTAGTGAAGTAATAATTGCCAGCCTCTCTGTGATTATAAATAGTTGATCGCAAAATAATTATGCAAGTTCTGTTTCCCGTTACTGCATTGTCCTATTCATAAGACAACTGTCCAAATTTCAATCCACTTATTCCTGTTATTCTTTTCACTCTTGGTGCGCTAATTGTGCATAGTAGTGAAGGCACAAACAAACCAATTCAAACTATTTAAAACAACCTAAAAATAATACACGACCTTATTATCTTAATGCCATTCCCCACATTTTTTTTCATGCGATAAAGATCAGTGCTAATGTATCCCCCGTCATATTAATGCAATCCCCCCTCAAAAAAGGCCCAACCCGTACGCCCATTACTAGCAATTCTGAGCAAGTCCGTGCGTGATCCGAGTAAGCAACTGAGCTAACCGCCGCCCGGTTAGCTCAGTTGGGAGAGCGCCGGTCTGCTGAGCGGGAGACCGTAGGTTCAAACCCCGGCCGGACCAACACTCAGGGTCTTTAAATAACGGAGGAGAAAGTGCTGCCTTTGTAATAACATCTGCAAATGGTTAGACTTTCTAGTCTTCTCGGATAAGGACGATAAACCGTAGGCCCCGTCTCACAAGGCCTTGCACATGTAATTAATCTGTGGGACGTTAAAGAACCCACACACTCTTCGTAAAGAGTAGGGCACGTAGTGCCCGGTGTAGTGGTCTATCTCACTTTCACACTCATGTATGGGGGCATCATCACTCATTCCGTCAGTACTTGTAAACTGCACCTTAAGCAGTCTGGCAAAGTCCCCCAACCAGTGTTGTAAATTATCCCTGAAAAGCCCTGTGGGGAGTGGATAATAAGATATTTACATAGTATTTACAGTAATCCTTGCGTCATCCATCGAGGAAACTGTTGAAAAAGATATTTTGTAATCTGAAAGAATTTTATAATGTGCGGTTATCCTAAGGATTAATGGTCGATTCGCCAACGTCCTTTTTGCTAACGTCTCAAGTTGTTGTTGTTTTTTTTAAGTCAGTTACCTAACTTCTTTCACGAGAACGAGTTGTATACACATGCGCATCGGACGTTGTCGTGTCATAACGGAAATAACGAGAAATATGTATGTGTAGTGCTCGTTTCGTTTGGTAAGCAAAACGATTTAAGACGTTACCGAACGGGGCGTTGGCGAAACGACGCGTTTTCGAGTTGACCAGTCACCGTCGTGAGATACAAAAACGCCGTTACATATAGGCTTTAGTAGAACTGTTGAGTTCTGTAGAGATCTGGGGAGAAGCCATGTACGGCCAACTATAGCTAGTCATCGAATATGTCTGAGTTTTCTGATCCGTGATTTTAAGGGCAGCTCGGGAAAAAAAAAATTAATTATGTATCTAATAACTATTAACAGGTGACCGTATTAACGAGGGTACTTTACAAAAAAAATGTATGGCTCTTTTGCCAGGCGGCCAAAGGTATTACCAAGGTGCCCGTAAGGCGGGGTTTCACTGTACTTATACATGGCCGCATAAAGATACGAAATTTCTTTTCGAGTTTTGAAATATTTTTTAACACGAGAAGAGAAAGTTCGTATCTCTAAGCGGCCACGAAATGGTTTTTTGTGTGAACACCAATGAAACGCCAAACAATTTCACTTATATTTATATATTTTTTTCTGCGAAAGGTGCAATTTGTTATGCAATCAAAGAAACGGTTATCTTTTGACGTGTGAGGACATCATTTTTTCTTGCGAACACTCACCTGGTGTTTCATTGGTGTGTACATAATAAATGGAGCACACATTTAATCAAAGTCGTTTTCCTTCTGCATAAACTTTACATTTGTCATGAACGTCTATATTTATGATAACGTCATTGAGGACTTTGAGTTGTTCTGTTGACAGGCACTGCGTTCTGTTGTAACTGCCCTGTAGACCCTACCCTGTTAAGCTTGGTACACAATGAAGTGTTGCAGCTTTCCTCCAGTTTGGAAGATTTTGTTTGCCAGTTTAAGGAACAGAACCACGTCCTGAAATCGCAGGTCTTGGAAGTAAAGCAAAATCTCGAAGAGCTACTGGAACTTCCCCAGAAAGTTAAAGAAATGAAGAATGACGTGGAAACCTTGAAACAACAAATGGCAGATTTAAGTTGGAGTGCTATGAAACGTCAACAGAGTGTCAACCCTCCATCGTTCTTTGGAGCGCTAGAGAGAAATGAATATTTTACAGGCCGCAAAAAAGAGCTAGAATCCTTGGACAATGCCTTTCAAGACGTCACCACCACGAAAGATGTTCTGAAAGGGTGTAAAACGAGGACTAAAGTTCATGGTATTTGCGGGCTTGGGGGCTGCGGGAAGTCATCTCTTGCTTTCGAATATGCTTGGCGCAACCTGGAACGTTACTCCGGAGGCGTTTACGTTATAAATGGAGAAAGTGACGAACTGTTGCGATCATCTGTTCAAGGAATCCATGGACAATTCGTGTACAAGTCTCAGCCCAACAGGCACGAAGAAACAAAACAGTTTGATCACCTAATGACAGAAACTCTGTCGTGGCTTGGTAGTCTAAGTCGCAAGTGGCTTTTGCTTGTAGACAACATGGATCAAAAGAAACTTAGCTCCTACACACGAAAAATGTTTTTAGGCCAGTGGAAAAGTAAAACTTTAGGGGACATTCTTGTCACTTCTCGTAGAAGTCCTCAAGCGTTTTGTGAGGACCTAGATCTTCGTCCTGAAAACTGTCTTGAGCTGGATGCTTTTCCTGTCGACGAATCTATTGAATTCCTAAAGAAACGCACCGGATTAGCAACCGCTTTTGAAAATCAAGAGGAAGGAGTAACAGAACTTGCCCAGGAGCTCGGTGGATTACCGTTGGCCCTAGAACAAGCTGCTGCTTACATCAGTGCGTTAAAGTGCTCGGCTCAGTCGTACCTTGAGCAGTATCGTGAACAAAAGTCGATTCTTTTGAATAGGAAAAGCGCCAAACCATGCTCAGAGGTCTACAGTGAGGCACGCCTGGCTGTACAAACTACATGGCGTCTGAATTTCAGTTACATAGAAAATGACGAAACGGATGAAGGACTTGGAAAGGCCGCTTCTTTCTTCATGAAAATTGCCACATACCTGTCCCCAGATGAGATACCCATTGAGATTTTAAATGTGGGCGCCCCAGAGATTGACCATAAGTACCTGAAGGATCGCTTGAAGATGCCAATCGGTGCAGAACAAATTGTTGATTTGATGCTTAGGTTTTCACTTTTCAAACGCAAGTCAGATGATAGCTTGAGTATCCATCGACTTGTTCAAGAGACATTGAAAGAGCGTTATAGTAATAAAGGGGAAACTGAAAAAGCTTTTTCTTCTGCCATAAGAATGTTGCACCATTCCTTTCTTGACTGTGTTGGAGGGACAGACTTCCTTTACGAATGGCAATTGAGACAGGATTATCTGAAAGATGAAACAGGGAGTTGCAAAGACCAGTTCCGTCAGCGTCTCGAAAGTTTACGCCAGGCCAAACTGGAGAGTCGACGATGGAAAGTGCTCTCTCTTAATGCTAATCACCTCCTTTTTCATCTCTTGAAAAATTCATGCTTGAAACCTGATTACCTATTCCGTGAGGAAACTGCCAGGATATTTTGCGAAGCAGCCTTATATTGCTATTCTTTGGAAATGAACAGTGAAGGATACTGCCTACAACAATATGTGTTCGAAATTTTGTGCGCAGTAAAAAAGTCCATTTGTTTTTACAAAGGAGATGAACTAATGAAAGTAGCGAGAGTCCTAAGGCCCCTTTGTGACCCTAGTGTAGTTCTATTAAAGTTAAGAGCTCCATCAGATGAAACGATTGAAAATGCCATTAGTCGAACAGGTGTCAAGATAGGCACCACTCAAAACAACGAATTGTTAGAAGGGATTGAAATGATAAAACCAAAGGCGAGAGAAGCTTTCTCCAGGGGCGATTATCAAGCCTCGTCAGATCTTTACACTGAGATTTTAAACTTACCAATCGCGGTAAATCAACCTAGCGCTCGTCCTCTTGGAACAATTTTTTGTCACCGTGGTATTACGAATATGCAATTGAAAAACATTGAGACTGCTTTGGAAGACTTCAATGCTTCTATATACGCTGACACTGAGCTTTATCGTGGCTACTACTGGAAGGCATACACACTTTGCAAACTCGTTGAAAGTGGAAGAACCGAGTTCACCAGCAGAGCCCAAGCTGCAGCAGCAGTACTTCACTACAAGTTTGCACGTTCCAAAGCAGGTGATATTCGAAAACTGCAACATAAATTTCAGAAGGTTTCAGGATTGCTTGATAGAATAAACTACAATTTTGTCACCAGTGTTAACCAGCTCAAGGAACTAGAGAGTCAGCTCTCTGGAGAACGAAATTCAAATGATCCATTTACAGTGATTCTAGCAGAAGGGAAATTCGATTTGAAAAAGATTGTTTTATCGAAAGGGTCTTATTATTTTGTCTGTCTTCCTGGAGGTTCCGCTGTTCTTAGTTTCAGCAGAGGATTGTTTTTGTCAGATGCGTCTTTTCTATTTGAAAATGTTCATTTCGAGAATTCTTTGCCCTCAGCAAACCTCGATCAACCGTTGTCGTCTGAAGCACGAGCTTCTAGTGCTGCAGAGAGAGAAGAGCTACATTCAATAACGTTGGGAAAATCACACCTGATTAAGAAGCAAGTGTCCACCGGCAGTGAACGCGAAGTTAATGCTCTGATAGAGGCTAATAACGTTAAATCATTGGTCATGGATCACTGTCTTGTCGATTCTTCAAATGGTGTAGGAGTATTGGTGAAGGCACATCACCGTCAGCAAGTAATTGTTTCAGTTAGGTCTACTGTAATTCAAATGAGTAATGGGCCTGGAATCTTTATTCGAGGAGGAACAGCTGATTCCCACATAAGTATTTGTGACAGTCAACTACACAGTAATATGTGTGGTATTTTAATGGTTACCCCAGCACGTTTTTACATGGAAAATAATCGTATTCTCTATAACTTAGCTGGTGGTATTGTGGCCGCCGGAGGTTGTAATGGAGGATTATTGAGAAATTCATTGGAAGGTTCTCGGTGTGCCATTTTGTTGAAAGGATCAAACGCGACAGTAGAAGAAAGCGTTATTGCTGAACAGTCTGGTTGGGGAATCGTTGTTTGTGCTGGAAGCAACTTAATTTGCAAACATACAACGTTTGGAGATAATTGCTGTGGGGGACTTCGTGTCATGTTAAATGGCAAAGGAAATGTTTTGGTTGAGAAATGCGAGTTTAGGAAAAATCTTGGTCCAGATGTTTTTCCCGCTAATGCCAAAGAAATTTGCCCATTGGATTTGCAATGTAAAAAGATTTTCACAAGTCCCCAGGAATCGTCCAGTATATTTCACTTACGTAATTTCCTTCAACTAGCGAAAACTGACATGTTAGAATACGCTGATGAACTCAAGATCCCCTTGCTTCTTGACAACAGAGTTTTGGACGTTCCTGATGTTCTTCCTTGGGAACCGCGTGAAAGATGTTCTGGGTGTTGGAAAGATCTACAGTCGGTTGGTGATTTTATGGAATGTTCCAGTTGCCTTGTTGCAAGGTTCTGTAGCAAGCAGTGCTCTGACACTGCAAGAGATGTTCATTCTTTCGTCTGTAACTCTATTCTTGAAGCAAATAAGGAATGCCAACCTTTGCAGCTACTGTCCAGCTCGCCAATAAAAGCAGCTTGTCAACGTAAAGCTGGCAACTGTTTGTGTGTTATTTCTGCTCTATTCAATCTGCTTGGTCCAGCAGAATCTCGCGGGCGCGGTATCTGTATATTAACTTGTCCACAGCGCAACCTTCATACTGTGCTAACATCCGTACATTTGCACAGTTTTGTAATGTTTCATGGGGTTCTGATCAAAGAAAGTATGTTGGACATCAAGGCAGCTAGTATTTTGGCAAACTTTGATCCTGATTCCCATACCGTCACTGTTTACTGGCATCGCATTTTCCCTGTCGACAAAGTACCAAATGGTTGGAACTGGGTGAACAGATCGTTAGATTTGTTCGCAAAATCCTGCGTAAGGGAAGGTGCGTCTTAAGAGGTCGGCAATGTAAAAAATGATTCAAGGATTGTCCAACTTTAAAGTAAGGTTTGTTATGTTGACTCTTTCGATGTATGGCCACTGATGACGTGTAACGGAACTAGCTAAGAAAGAACACGAAGCTTAGGAGGACTTTGCGGTTTGTTGCTTTGCCCCAGACGTTCTTTTGGTAATGTAGCGCGAGGCAATCCCCGCGGGTACCCCTCTAAGTAAGTCACGTGAGATGGCGTAATAACCATGTGCGAAGAAATAATTGTAAGACGAGTGAGTAGTAGATTAAACATGTGTTGTTCTCTTAACGCCGTGTTTTAACTGGGAATCGTGGCGTTACACTGGTGGCAGCGGTAAACAAAGACGAACTTCACGGATATATGTGTTCAATGGCGATATTTTCATGGTTTGCGTGACTGAGTTTCATCGCCCTCCGTTGTTTTTCATCCAAAGTCTCTTCGTGTGTTTGCTATCGTGGTCTCGCCCGTTTGCAATGGCGGAAAACTCACTTGTGGATTCAGGATTTAAAGGAATGAGTTGTTCAACGCCAGCTAATCCTTTTAAAGCGGGAAACCCATTTACATCAAAGTCTGTTTCATCTGTAGACTCATCAATGCATGTGGAGAGTCCAGGTCGGCGATTTCTATCAGCGAGCTTGTTTGCATCGCCGCTGGATCCGTCAGTACATGATAGCAGTGCAAGTCACCGATTTCGCTCCAAAAACCCGTTCGCATCGGAGAGTCAACAGGATACTTACTCCACTGATTTGTTTACACACCGCCCGAAGTTAAGCAAGCCTATTAAAAATCCTGCGGATTATGATGGTACTCAGTCGCTACGTGATTATTTGAAACACTTTGAGCGTTGCTCTGTTGTTAATGGTTGGAACCAAGAAGAAGCCGCTCTATTTCTTGCTGCAGGCCTTCGAGGAGAAGCCCAAAAGGTGCTTAATGGTATGTCTGATAGCGATTGTCGAACTTACGCCAAAATTGTTGAAAAATTGGAGCTTCGGTTTGGTGTTGAAAAGCAGCGTGAGTTACACCAAGTACGCCTTCATAACCGTCGCCAACTGGAAAACGAAAGTGTTCAAGCTCTTGCTGCAGATATTCGCTCTCTGTCAAGTTTAGCTTATCAGGACTTATCTCCGGTCACTCAAGAAAGATTTGCCGTCCAGCACTTCATTGATGCACTCAAGGATCGAGACGACAGGCTTAAATTACGTAGAGATAAACCTCGCACCTTAGATGACGCCCTGTCGCTGGCTTGTGAACTTGAGGCGTTTCGTCTCGTGGATGGAGATGAGCGGAGAAGCCCTCTTCATGTTCGCTCTGTGGATGAAGTTGATAAAGAGCCTGATTTGCTTAAAGCTCAGCTGGATATGTTACGTTCTGACATTCGAGTGCAACAACAACGTCAGGAGACTCAGCAAGTTGCTATGCAACAGTTAGTTGAGCAGATACAGCAGCTCTCCAAGTCGCTCTCTTTGAACACCTCTGGTAGCCAACAGCGATTACCTCCTTCACGTTACTCCAACCGCAATGTTCAATGCTGGAATTGTAAAGAATTTGGCCATTATCGTCGTAACTGCCCAAAGTACAAGTCACTTGACCGAGCCAACCCGGGCTCGGGAAACGGCCGCAGGGTGTCGCCCACGGGCCCGGGGGATGCCTAAATGCGAGTGATGTTGGCCCCACAAGTGGTACTGATGTGAACAATGCATTCTCTCAGCAATTGCCAAACCAGGAAATGACATGTCCTAATACACCCATGGAACGGTCACATGTTAATGAAAAGTTACGAGGCCTTTACTTGCCAGGCTTTCTTGGAGGATCTCGTGTCATGTGGTTGATAGACACTGGTGCCGCACGTTCAGTTTTGTCGTTCGAGGTTTATAATTCTTTACCTGCTAGCGTTAAGTTCAGTTTGAGTTCAGAAAATTCTGCCATTGCTCTTGCTAATGGTCAACAAGCGAAAACTTATGGTGTGGGACATGTTGTCATGCGCCTTGGTAACAGCGAGTTTCAAATGCATGTAATTGTTGCTGAGATTGAGGATGAGGGCATTTTGGGTATGGACTTCCTGTCACAAGTTGATTCCCGTATTGACATTGCGACAAACCAACTGTCAATTAATGGCGAAGTGTTTGATTGTTCTGATTTCAAGAACCAACCCCTTAGTTCCAGATGTATGGTTCGACGGTCAACCATGATTGAACCTAACACTGAGGTGATTGTCCCAGTCCTTGTTCACAAGCGTTCATTTAACTTAGACCCACAGTCGTCTCAATTAGGCACGCGATTGTTAGAACCATGTCTGAACTCACATTTGCAACAAAAGGGACTTTATGTTGCAAGGACTCTGGTTGATGTTACGGAGGACAGGGTGGTCCCCTTACGTGTTTTCAATGTTTCTAATGAAGTGTTTCATTTGGCTGCTGAGACTGTGATTGCCCTTGCTAAGCCAGTTACTGATGTCACCTCACTAGAGCTTAATCAAGAGAACCATGACGGTGCTATGGGCCAAGCTAGAGTAATAAATGAACATGTGTCACAAGGAGCAGTCGATATGACTCTACCGAAGGCCTTGCAGGAACTACTTGAGAGAAGCACAGATAATTTAACTGACAGTGAAACTGAGAGACTGCAGGGGTTGCTATTCAATTACCAGCATGTGTTCTCAATTTCAGACGGGGACTTAGGCACCACGCACATGGTCCAGCACAGAATCGATACGGGCAATGCTCTTCCAATCCGAATTCAACCCCGGCGAACTTCACCGTGGAAACATGATGAGATAGAACGACAAGTCACTAACCTCCTACAGCAGGGCAAGGTGATGGAATCGTCCAGCCCCTGGTCTTTTCCGGTTGTGCTAGCAACCAAAAAGGACGGTAGCCAAAGGCTGTGCGTGGACTACCGCCAGCTTAACGCAGTGACGATAAAGGATGCCTTCCCCTTGCCTCGGGTTGATGATTCTCTTGCTGCTTTGAGTGGTTCCCGATGGTTCTCAACTTTGGATCTTGCCTCAGGTTATTGGCAAGTGGCGATGGATGCGGGCACCCAGGAGAAGGCAGCATTTGTAACTTCGAGCGGCCTGTATGAGTGGACCGTGATGCCTTTCGGCCTCTGCAACGCACCCAGCACCTTTGCCAGACTGATGGAACTTGTTTTGAAGGGCCTACATTGGAAGATTTGTTTGATCTATCTTGATGATGTGATAGTTATGGGACGCACGTTTGAAGAGGAATTAGAGCGGTTGAAAGAGGTGTTCGAGCGACTAGCCAGGGCAGGACTAAAACTTAAGCCAAAGAAGTGTTTTCTCTTCCAGAAACGGGTTTCGTACCTCGGACATGTGGTCACGGAAGAAGGCATTGCTGCAGACCCTGAAAAGGTGGAGCAAGTTCGCACCTGGCCCACCCCAGAAAACAGCACGGAGGTCAAAAGTTTCCTTGGACTTGCCTCTTATTACCGCCGGTTCATCCCTGATTTCTCGACCATAGCTAAGCCGTTGTACAAGCTAACGGAAGCCAAGGCGGAATTTGCTTGGACAGAGCAATGTCAGCTGGCTTTTGACAGCCTGAAGGGTTTACTTACGTCCGGTAGAGTCCTAGCCTACCCTACTAGGGAGGGAAAGTTTGTGCTAGACACCGATGCGTCAGACCATGGCATTGGGGCAGTGTTGTCACAGTTTCAGGACGGGGTCGAAAAACCCATTGCGTTTGCAAGTCGGACATTGTCCAAGTCTGAAAGGAACTATTGTGTGACGCGTCGTGAGCTCTTGGCAATCGTTGAGTTTGTTAAGCAACACCGGCATTACCTACAAGGTACAAGATTCTGCATTCGAACTGATCATGCCCCTTTGCGTTTTGTTGTCCAGGCCAAAGATCCCGAGGGACAGCTTGCACGTTGGATTGATTACTTGAGTACTTTCGACTTCGAGATCCAGTATCGACCAGGACAGCGACATCTGAATGCTGATGCACTTTCCCGTAGACCATGTGATGTCCGTTGTAAGTGGTGTAAGGGTTGGAAGTCACAGGAGCGAGCGTCATCTGTTGATGTGGGTGTTCAGACCGTGATGCATGTCCCTTGCCAGGACATCAAACAACCTGTGAATTGTGAAGAACCTGTTGGTGCTCGTTGTGCCACTGTCAAGTTAGAACCAACCTGGACTTCAACTTTCGTGAGGGAACAACAGGAAGCTGACTTTGATCTCAAGGTTATTATTGGTTGGAAGGAAGCCGGCAAAGAAAAACCATTGTGGGAAGATGTGTCGCCTCAGAGTTGTGCTGTGAAGACCTTGTGGTCACAGTGGGACCGGCTGCTCTTCAGAAACCGTGTACTTTGCCGCAGATGGGAAAGTGACGGAGGTGATCAGATTATTGACCAGGTCATTCTTCCCGAGAGTCTTCGACAGGCTGCCCTTGAAGCTCATCATAGTCATACGACTGCAAGTCATCGTGGTATACGAAAGACCCTAGGCGCCCTTCAATCTCGTTATTACTGGCCAGGACTTACTTCAGCAGTTCACAGATTGGTCGCCAGGTGCCATGTCTGTGGGTCTAAGAAAACCTGGGGACGCAAACGTCGTGCTCCGTTAAAGCAGTACGTGGTGGGAGCTCCCATGGAACGAATCGCGATTGACATTCTTGGCCCACTGCCAGAAACCCCGCGAAAGAACAAATTTATACTCGTGGTTAGTGACTATTTCACTAAATGGACTGAGAGTTATCCAATACCCAACCAGGAGGCCACCACTGTTGCAGAGAAGCTTGTGAGCGAGTTCATTTGTCGCTTCGGTGTACCCCGTCAGCTTCATAGCGACCAAGGAACTAACTTTGAGTCAAGGGTGTTTGCTGAAGTCTGCAGGCTGTTAGACATTGAGAAGACCCGCACCACTCCCCTGCATCCCCAGTCTGACGGACAGGTGGAGCGTTTTAACAGAACCCTCATTGAAATGTTACGTGGGAAGATCCAGCAAGACCAGACAGACTGGGATCTACAACT